ATGTAAATAAAGTTAAATATAGTTTTTAATTTCATACTTTTTTAATTTAAAAATTATTTATTTAAGCATATTTTAAATTTTGATCATTAATTATTATTTCAAACATCAAATATTTTCCACCGCAACATAACATATTTTGTAATTTTATATGATTTATTTAGTAATTTAAAAATCTATTTGTTTGTTGTCACTATTAAAAAATAGTTTTTGATCGAAATTTTGTTAGTTTAACATTTTGATTTATGTTTTATATATTTAATATTATTATACTTAATTAATTTAGATAGGCGTCGTTATAATGCCTCTAAATAGAGAGTAGCATGTTTGGGGTTTATGATAAAATCTATAATCATATTCAAGGCATGGCGATGATAATATTGGTTTTTTTCTATAGTTGTTTCAGAAGGAGTTCATTATTATAGTTCATCAATAATAAGGTTTCTTTAAAATGAATCATAAGAAAACCCTTAAGTCCTTACGTTTGCAAAACATTTACGGTTTTACCCTAATTATGTCTTTTTTTCATTTCTACCTCACAGTTTTCATGCAACTTTGTTGATTTTACTTATTTTTATATTTTTTCCGGTTAACGCTACTACGAGTAAGGCACATATCTTATATATAAAACAATCTAGATACTCATGTTTACTTTTCTTAACTCTTGTATATAGAAAATGAGATTCAGTTTTTATGTAAATTTATAGGCCATTTCTTGAGATAAGAATACATATTGAGATCAAGTAGATCACAGTGATACACATGTTCTACAAGGCACGTCAAGGTGTGCTATGGCGCGATGCATGGTGTAGCCGTTACGAAAAAGTCTAAGACGGGTTTGTTAAGTGTGACGTCCAAATAACGTATTAAGGCGCACCTTATTGCGTTATAGTGCAAGTTTTTTTGTTTTTGGTTTTTTTTTTTCTGTTTAAGACTAAACAATTGAGTTTTTGTTATCTTTTTTATATTAAATGATAATATAACACCTCTAAAAACTTGATATGTTTTATATAATTCTATAACTATATGATTTATCTTTTTTAAGGTATATAAAGTTGTCGCACCTTGAAATACGTCATGGCTTAGGTTTGACCTTACCGTCAAGTTCGCGCCTCACGTCATTTAAAACCTTGGTGATACTTATTGTAATTCCTAATACAAAAGTAAAAATAGGAATAAACATCTATATGATCCCATAGACCTCTTTTTAATGATCCATAGTGATAGACCTCTCTTAAGGAATTATCAAGTAAATCACAATAGGTATACCAGTAAGGACAACATATTTTTTTTTTTTAAGAAAACCCAATAAACATGAACCAAACAATAAGTAAAATTAACAAGTTTCATAAAAAACCGGGTAAAACTAAATAAAAAAACATACTTAGGAAACTTTTTCGCAAACTTAAGAGTATGCAAGTTTCACTTTAAGGAAATACAAAAACCAGTTTAAAAAAAAAAGATAAAAGTAGTAAAACTAAAAAGTTGAATTTAAACTTTATTGGTAAAACAGGAGAAAAAACAAAAATGATAAAACCGATAAAATTATTTAAAGTTAAGGTTTTTATTTCATTTTCCCCTAATAAGTTGAGACTTGAGAGGGCCAGAGGGTAAAGCTATTGGCCCAATACATTTTGGGCTGCACGTAGCCTATTGAAAACTTTAATGGGCTATAAGTTCAATATCTCAGTTAAGTACAAATGTAGTAATGTACAATATATCCATTTCTTGTTTTTTCACAAAAATCGTTATTTCGAATTATCTAGAAGTTAGGATTATTTTCAAAGGTCATTTTCAAATTTATATGATGCACACGTTTTCTTAATTCAGTTTTATTAACAGGTGTTATATGTATTTAAATTTTTATTTAAACATTTATATAAAACTACGTATCAGATCATACAGACAACACAAATATACAAAACTTTAACAAGTTAAAATCTCACCATTGTGAAACCCAATCTAGAAAATGGCATACTGTGAAATCTTTCAACAGTGATCCCCCAATGTATATGTTAAAGTAATAACTGTCTACCACTTGCTATTTAAATTAGAATCTATGCAAATTATAGGGAATCAAATGAAGGAGCAGCATATAGATTACAAAATTTATGCTGCATATTGTAAGCAATGACTTATATAACATTTTGGACCTCAAGGTCAAGAAATAGGTATGTAGTTTGATTCTTTGGTTGAAATATCAAGTATGAAGTATGAAGTATGTATGTTGTTAATCTTTGTTTGAGTTAACTGGGGTGGAAGTGGAAGTGGAACATGATGAGATGTCTATTCCTGCAACCTCCATTGCATTGCAGACCCATTCTGGAACATCACCTTTTGGAAACTACAAAAAATAATCGCTTTCAGTATGTTTTCTGAAATATAAATTGATGGATTAAAAATGCATATAGTGAAGTAATGCCAAAAGTACAAATACCATTTTCCTCAAGAAGTTGCATACGAATCTGCAGGAAAAAAAAACATTGGTGGCAGATAAGAACTTGTCTCCCAGATTCAAAAAAAAAAAAGAATACTACTACCCAAGGGAAAAACTGCACAAAAAGTTAAAAGGAAAACATACTCTGGAAATGTTCCTTCTATAATTGACGAATGAAGATTTCTACTAAGCTGCAAATCAAAATGGTTTAATGTTCAAATATGAGAAAACGATAATGAAGTTTAAGAGATATAAATTATCAGAAATTCATTACCTGCAGCATGTAGTGTAAATTATGATAAGAGAGAAGCTGAGAACCCATGGCATCTTTTGTAACAAGACAATGAAGGTAGGCCCTTGTGTATTTTTTGCAAACCTACATTATAAATTTATAATCAACAAAGGAAATGAAGAACATGGGAAAATCAAAGATATGATCTTAATTTATAATTCATAAGCATACCATACACTCGCATGTTGAGTCAATCGGTCGGGTATCCTCAGCCATTGACTGGTGTTTTAGTTTTAAGACCCCCTGAAATCAAGACATGAGAAGTTTACTAGTGAATAGTGATGATAAGCTTAAGAGCCAGGGGCAAAATTGTCAATGCAATAGGATACCTCAGGGACAAGGGCAGTGCCAAATCGAGCTGTACGTGTAGGATATACACAGTCATACATGTCAGCACCCAAAGCACTGCAAACTACAATATCAAGTGGATACCCAACACCCTGACAAGATATAATCACACCACTATATTAAGTTAAGATATACCAAACAATGTCACAAAAAAAAAAAAAAAAAAAAAAAGGTGACATAAAGTACCATAACATATCGGGGTTTGCTTTCAGGAAGTGAAGCTGTGCATTGTGCAACAACACGCCAAAATGAATCTTTATCTTCACCTCCTGCAAGTCCACCAATAGCATAGCTAATGGTTGCACAAGTAAAATCCATATATTATTATTTTAAATAACAAAATCAATTTTTAATCAAATAACATTCTAGTTGTGTTGTGTACATACCCAGGCAAATTCCTTTCCACCAAACCTTGGACACATATATCCCTGATAAGTAAAAGTTAGTCTTTTGGTGATAACTAATTTATATATGAATGGAATGGAGTGTTACTATTATTAATCACCTTAAAACAGGATCTAAACCACCCTGTACAATTCCAAATAAATTCTGTTCATTTGGTCTCTTATGAGCTGCATATCAAATTATTAATAAAAAAAATATAAAAATAAAATTGAAAATTGAAAATATTGTTGATATTAAAAAATGTACCTGCTATGCACCTGTCTATCCAACGCAAAGTTCGATGCATGGCTTCTTCAATCCTCGGACCTGTAATGGTGGTTTTCACTACATCATCAAGAGCCATAATAATGTCTGCTCCAATTCTGTTCTACAAAAGTAGATGGATATGCAATACATCATAAAACATGAACGTTAATTACCGAAATAACTAAATATATATTTCAACATCCACATTGTCAACTTATTTCCACATACATCATAGGTGTGAAGTTTAATAATCACTTAAACTTACTTGGATTTGGATCGATTCTTCAGGGGTTAGGAGCATAGGCTTTCCATCAACTGGTGACTGCAGAATGAATTATCAAAGATTAGTTATGGAAGACGGATACAATGAAGTAGGAACTCTAAATTCCATATAGAGCTTGTAAAAATGTGTGTGTGTGTGTGTGTGTGAGAGAGAGAGAGAGAGAGAGAGAGAGAACCTGAAATGTGACACCTTCCTCGGTGATGTCAGCTAAATGCAACAGTGAGACCTGAAAGAGATGCACACTAAAGTTTTATAATAACCATCTTTAAAAATGACAAAAAAGAAAACTAATTTCCATCAGGTAGATAGAAATTATATGATAATCAATCAATGTGAGTCATAAAGAGATATATGAGAAAGAAGAATTACCATCTGAAAACCACCAGAATCAGTGAGAAGTGCCCTGGGCCAGTTCATAAAATTGTGAAGGCCCCCAAATTCATCAATTAGCTCAGAAGTTGGACGAAGTGCAAGATGATATGTATTTCCAAGTATAATTTGGCACCCAATCTCCTCCAGTTGAGGGGTTGTCAAACCTTTTATTGTCCCTGTCTCCAACCATACAAAAAAAAAAAAAACAACAACAATTACTAACTCAAGAAAACTAATGAATGTAAATTTAGGTCAAAAGTTGCAGTTTGATAAATAATATCACATGGAATGAAATTCAAATGTTCTAACCTTGTGTTCCCACTGGCATAAAAAGAGGCGTGTGGCAGGTGAAGTGAGGGAGTATCAACCGAGCTGCACGAGCACGATTGAACCTCCCAAGAACCTATCCAAACCAAACAAAAATAAAACTACTAGATTAACTTTCAAAATTTCCATAGAAAGTATTGTTCTTTGAATGAAAGATTAACTAATGATCACATTTTCAATGCAAAAAGCCACCAGCGGAACTTTTAAAATCAAAATTGGACCCTTGTGTTGGAAGATTAAAATGGAGTTTTAGTTGTATAGCTACATTATATTCATGTTTATATATATACTTATATCATTGGAATCCGATTCCTCTCATGATTCTTTGCACCTTTAAGATAGCAATGTGGAATTACAGCTAAATGAAATCTTTACCTCGAAACGAAGAGCCATCATACAACCCTATCTACCCTTTATAGCAAGTGAATATTACAAACTGAACTACAGAACAGACAAGAAAAGGGAAACACAGCAAGGATGTCAGAATGTCAGATATCTGATTTGTAGAAAAAGACACCGGAGATGATGAAAAGGAGCTGACGGAGATATGAAGAGAGAAATCGTCAGTGAATAGACGATAGCACTCCGGCCAGAAAGTCGAGCGCGTGCCCTAATTCAATGCAGAATGTAGAACAGATTAGGAAGGAGGCGCCGGCAAATTAAAATTACATGGTTTATATAGCGTGTTTTCCCAATTCCGTACGTTCTTATTGCTAGGTTGAGCTAAATATAGAAGTAGCCCTTCAACTTTCTATTTTTGTAGTTTTTATAGCTTTTAACTTTTTGCATCTTTAAAAAATATGTGTATCATATATAGTCTCTTAAATTAAGTGCAACAAAAAGTGCTTTTATGGGTTTTATCTATTTTTGATGTAACAGAATAACGGAAAGGAAGATTTCTATGGGAAGGCACCAAAGAGAAAAGGAAGATTCACCGGATGTCTTGGGATAAGATAGTGGCGCCTAAAGACAAAGGAGGGTTAGGTGCCGGCTCTATATATGCTCTCAACATTGGTCTTATTGTGAAGTGGTGGTGGCGGTTAAAGACTAGCTCCTCATCACTTTGGTGTAAAGTTATTCGTGGGATTCATAAGCTTGACGGGAAGCCCCATCATCAGATCTCTAGTGGTACCGTTACTGGAGTCTGGAGTCTGGAACAATATTTCCAAATCGAAAAATGACATCAGAAAATTTAATCTCAATTTCTATGACATTTTTAAAGTGCAGACTGAGACTATTTTGCCTTACAGACAAAAATGGAGCTGCCTTTTGAACCCGGATGGTATATATACTGTGGAGGCTGTGAGATTAATTATTGATCAAAACCCGGTTGTTGAGTCGAACCCGGTGGTTGTGTGGTGCAAATAAATTCCTATAAAAGTGTTGGGTTTTGTCTGGAAGGCGGAAAAAAGGGAGAATTCCCAATGCGGAGGCTCTCTCAGTTAGGGGCGTTCCTATTGACTCTATTGCGTGTGATTTATGTGGGGAGGTGGAGAACGTTGACCGTATTCTGATTTCTTGCCCTTTCGCATCCAATGTGTGGAACTAGATTGAACCTGGTGCATGATTCCTTTCCCATTTTTTGCCAACACTCGTGCTTTATTAGATTTCATTAACCACTGGGGGAGATGTACCAAAAAGAGATGCATTCTCACCATGATCGTGTATGGTCTTATCTGGAGTTTGTGGAAAACTAGGAATGGTAGATTGTTCAACAAGCATATCGTTTCTGCTTCTTCGGTTATATATGATATTATTTCCTCGGTTTTCCTTTGGGCGAAGCGTAGGGGTAAAATGGGGATATGTAATTAGATTAATTGGTTATCTTTTCCTTTCTCTTGTTTGTAGTTTGTTTTGCTTGTTCCTGTTTTGCTCCGCCTTGCGTCTTGCTAGGTGTGAGTGCTTTTTCTAATGCATTGGCCGTTTCCAAAAAAAAGGAATAACGGAAAGGCCCATATAACTTTTACATATTAATAAAATTAACATTAAGTTTAAAATTTCAATTAGGTCACAAGATATTAGACCCTCTTTGATATGCATTTGATCGAGTTAGGTCAGACATTTTTTGCTGACTCGGTTAGCTAAAGGTGTTTGATAAACAAAATTTGGGTGTATAACTCGGTAAGCAAGATCCAATTGAGAAAGAAGTTTGTAGATGGCTGACTGAGAAAGGAAGAAAGGATTTTCAATCTTACCATTGCCTTAACGACGAATGATGAAGTGTTGGCTAATAATTCGTCGCTAAGCAGAGGAAAAGGGGGTAATGGGGATTGAACCCATCACCTCACACTTACAAGGCAACATCCTTATTACTATGCTAGAAGGTTTTTTTGTGTTATATTTGCTCAAACACTTTATATAATGTATAACATTGATGACTATTATTATTATTATTATTATTATTATTATTATTATATTGCATAGAAACGTATAGATCATTAGGGTAAAATTGTCATTTTTCATCAGTCAATACATTCAGTCAGATGTACAATCAAACAATATGGTTTCTTATTCAGTCAGAATTTATTCCTCAGACAGACCATCCCAATCAGTACTTTTTCAGTCAACAACTATCAAACGGGACCTTACTACTGTTTTGTGTGGGTCGTAATATGTAAATTTTTATTAGGTATAAACCATTTTTATAATTTTTTTCAACACATGGACCATTTATGTAAAAGAAAATTGCACGATGACCTTTTCTGTAAATTATAAGGACAATTTTTATAATTTATTTTTTATACAGAGACCAAAACATGTTAATATATGAAATTCTTTAACACATGGACCATTTATGTAACGTCCTTTTTTAAGTCGTTTCATAATTTGGGGCCATGACCCGAAGATCAATTATAATAAGGCTTCGGGCTTTGGGGAAAGAGAGGATTAAACCCTTTTGGGTGAGGTTAATGTAGATTATATGATCCAAGATTTTAGTTTGTACTTTGGAGCCCAAGGGTATAATGGTGAAAGTGATGGTTTAGGCATTTCATAAATTATGGATTTTAGTTCGATGTGTTTTAAGTCAAAAGTAAATAGATATGGTTGTAGAGCTCCTCAATACCTTTCCGTGGATATAAAGATCATCGAAAACGGAGTTGGAACGAAGAAGTTATGATCGTTTGAAGTTATAAGGATTTTGAGGTAGGCGGAGTACGTTGGGCATACTAGGCAGGAATGATCGCGACTGACTAACCCAGTACGCTAGGCGTACCTGGAGTATGTTGGGCGTACGCAGGTCAGATGTAAACCCTAATTTGGGGTCTTGGACCTTGTTTAAAGCCCTTAACTCATTTCCAACCCTTCTTATCTTCAGCCTCCATCCCCTCTAACCCTAAATTCGAAACCCTAGCCCCATTTGGAAGGATTTTGAGCCTTTAAGTTATTTTGGGTGGATTTTTGGTGCATTTGGAAGAAATATAACTCCTTAGAGAAGTATTGTTTCTCTTGGAGCTTGTAAATCCAAACCTTGTTCATCTTGATCTAGCTTCTGGAGGTATAAAGTTTTAATCTTGATGGCTCTCTCTTGTAGATCTAGTTTGGGTTATGATTTGTCATGTTTTGGTCCCATGGTTGTGGTTCTTGTGAGTAGAAGTTACTCCAGAACCTTTGACCCTTATATCTGGTCTTTGTTGAGGTCATTAAGTCATAAAAATTGGATCTTGATGAGTACAATCCTTCCATGCATGAGTTGGTGGTCTTTTGATGAAGTTTGAGACTTAGGGCTTTGGTTTGGACCCCATTAAGCCATGCAAAGTCATATTTAGACCGATTTAGATTGCTAAAGTGTAACATCCCAATTTTCAAGGCCAAAAATTTCATTTTTAATTAAGTAACTCATAAAATAGTTTACCAAAAACATCACCAACGTCAAATCAATTTATAAAACTGTAACAACGTGTCTCAAAACCATATCATCCATCGTAATAAAAATCAGAGTACAATCTCAAGAAATCTCATAGTGCGGAAATCATGCGTGTGTGTGATGTGTCGCTACCGCGCCGGCTCCTTCCCCTTCGCTGAAGAGGTACCTGAAACCAAAATTGTAAATAATAAGCACAAAGCTTAGCGAGTTCCCCCATCATACCACATACCATACAATCACGTAGCATACATACTGTCGGGCAATTCTGGGGTGCCCAACCTTCCCGGTCCGGCCATTCTGGGGTGCCGACCTACCCTTCGGTCCTAACAACCGAACTCCGGGGACTATTTCACCCCCTACTATTACTATCACACATAACATAACATAATCATACTGTCAGGCATATAAGGGGTACCCGACGTACCCTTCGGTCCTAACAACCGAACTTGGGGACTATTCCCCTCATACTACCACTATCACACACAACATATCATACGAGCACATACACATATCAGGTAGTAGCAAACCTAGATGAAAATCACAAAGACAATCATCTTGTAACGCCCCATTTATGGTATGTGATTTAATTAAAGTAAAATTTCATTTCTTAAACGGGTACTCGACGAGTCTGTAGCCCGACTCGTCGAGTAGAGACGGGATTTGCATGCGGTTTAAGTTGGCAACTCGACGATTCCATATCCTCGGACTCGGCGAGTCTGCCTGTCTGGATGAAGCCCTGATTTCAAGGGTTTGTACCCTATTTAAACGTCATTATAGCCTCCCACCCCAGCCTCCAGCACCTTTAGAG